CCAGTGACATCCTCGACGGCAACGGCAAACTCATCCTCGGGTTCGTGTCCTCCACCGAAGATGGGTCACTTGACACCGACATGATAGACTCATGTGGACCATCATCAAGCGATACCAAGTGGGGGACATCGCCGTGGACGGCGTGTCGGGCAAAGAAGGTTGCGTCCTTCACTGCTATATGTGCATTCTTTCGAATCGATGTGATTGTATTTCATCTTGTACACAGTATACTATACAACGATTAGTATATATATATGGTTTTGCCCAATGCTGGGTCGAGGAATCAACCGTTGTTTGGATTGGCAGAAACTCGGCGTGACGTGATGATTTGATTGGCTCAGGCGTTTCTTGACTTGAACATATTTGATGATTCTGCTGATATTGTCCTTTTACCCCAAATTTGGCCTTTTAAAATAATTCTTTGCCAAATCTATAATATGGGTGATTCTTTGTCCTGACTTTTGTATTAATATGTAGAGATCGTATTGTGTGAATTCGGTATAAACTTCCAAAATTCGTCTGGTTTGTCGATATTGAATCACGCCAGAGTTCTGATTGGTTGACTATATATATGTTATTTCTGCAAGAGCCAATGAAATCCACTCCAAAATGGATTACCCAATAGCGTCGATTCGTGATTATTCGATTCGACGGGATCTGGAAATTCGTATCGAATCCGCAATATTAATTTCAGTCACACACTAATTCCATGTTGAATTGGTCGAAGAGTGGAAAATTTGATTGGCTACTTGATTCTTGATTTGGGTTTTGATTGGTCGATAATATAGATTGTCCGCCGATTCCAATTTCGAATATCGACTTAACATATAAACTCGAATTTCGAATCGATTTCAAGACACTAACCATCATCCGGATGACTGCCTTTGTAGGGCTACTGCTGTGGTGCAATCAGTTGCTGGCGCCGTTGCATTTTCACGTGAGCAACTTTACGACCAACTGGAGCAACGGTGTCGCATTTTGCTACCTCGTACATGCGTTGCAGCCAGCGTTGTTGCCGAATGTGGTCGACTGGTGCGATCTCCATTCGGCCATGGAGAACCTTGCGACAGCGTTTTCGCTGCTGGAAGCGCATTTTGCCATCCCGTCGC